CAATACTCCACCTGAGGAACCTGCAACAATAGGTCGTAGTTCGCAGTCAAGGTAGGAGTCGAGTAATAGCTAGGCGTAGAGGTTGTGGAAGAGTAGATCCTACGGGAAATGACATACCGATTTATAGTGCTCCTACCAATTAGAACCCTCATATGCATAATGAAGATATTGAAGAGGATAATGAGGTTGGGGATGTTGAGGAAATTGGACGAGTCGAAGAGGTGCGAGCAGTGACTATGGTTGTTCTCCACTTGGATACAATGTTAGCACAACAGACCACATCATTCTTGAAGGGGTTGGATGATCTTGGAGTGCTTCAATCTATGCAAGTTCATGTTACTCCTCTTGTTGCTAGATTTACACCCAAAATAGGTGGAAATGAAGATTTTATGATTTGTTCTATCCTTTGTTGGGTTCCTTTATGACCGACAATGAATATGACATTATGATTATGTTTTTCAATCTTAAGACTCCAGTATTTCTGGGTTTTAACACTGAATATTCTATAAATTTACCTTAGATTGTTTTGAAAGACTACATAAATTGGGTTTTGTTCACCCGCATGAGGTTGAGCTTGTGTCTTTCCAACTTCAAGGTGAGGCTAACCAATGGTGGAGAGATTATATGGTTTGAACCCAGTTTCATGTTTTGTTTCTAGAAATTTATGTACTTAGAACTTTGAGGGATTGCAAGAAGGATGAGTTTATGGCCTTAGAGAAATGTGGTATGTTAGTGGCCACATATGAGTTCAAGTTCCATCCTTTATAAAGGGATTGAATTCTCATTGCAAGTATTATCTATTCATATGACTTTAATAAGGAGGAGCTTTAATGAAACGACATATTATGTTTAGAAAGTAGAGGGGGTGAGGCGAGATGTTCAAGCTAAGACGTGTTCTTAGAGAGTCAAGAATTCCAATAATTTTCAGGTCTCTTATTCTAAGGTATCCGGTTGACCAACGTTCGCAAACCAAGTGAATTCAACCCTCTATGCCCACCTCGATAGGTACCTACTCAAGAACTCCATCTTATAATTTTACGAAACACCATGCAATTCCAATGACCTAAGCTAAAGCCTTGCATCATGAATAGTAACTTATAATGGTTAAAATATTGTTTTTAAACCTAGTATCTGTAATTAACATTGTTTATAAGTGTTAGTACCTAAACATCAAGAAACGACTATGGCATTCGGAAGATATTTAAAAATATAAACTAGTAGGTGTTCTTAGGTTTTGTGAAGGTTTGGAAGTGTCGTACGGTGATTAAACCATGTAAAAATGTTTTAGATAAGTAAAATAATTTGTTAAGGCTCCAAAGTTCTAGGTACGACCCCCAAGGACCACCCTGAGGTCCTTAAGGAGGACAAAAGCATTTAACCAAAAGCTGCCAAAATGTAGCACCCATCTACAAGAGGCAGTGACACACCGTCAATGGACCTACGACCCGTAGGTGTGTCTCGTGGGTTGATACTTAGTCTCCCCACAAATACTCCCCCAAATCCCACTCTCTGAAGCAAGTCACATACAAGCAGGACGGGCCGTACCACCACCTACGATCTGAAGGTGGTGGCTGCAAGTGGCTACAGTTTTTTCAAAAATTAGTTTTAAGTAAAGGGTCTTATTAGGAGTTAGTTATTTAACTAGGTTTTAGGAGGGGTGGTTAGCGACTTAATTACCTAATTAAACATAACTATAAGATCCAATCCCAAGACCTTAAGTAATTATAGCTAAACTCACAAAACAATGTCAAAACTCTCTCATCTCAAAACTCAATTGAAGAAGAAGATCAAGCTTTATCTAGGGATTCAAGAACAAGAATTTTCTCCATTAATACTTAAGGATTAACAATGTATGGGAACTCTTAAGTCTTTGGATTCCTTCCCATAAGAGTTTCATTCAAAAAATGATTTCAATGTTCTTCTAAAATTATTAGATTCCTCTCAATTTCGTAGGTCACTTTTAAACATGACATAATTGGTATATAATTAGATAATTATTATTGCATATTAATGTTATTGAGCGAATTTAAGTGTTGTTAAGGTTTTTGATCTAATTCTTTATTCCTCTTCTCTCAACCCTAACCCTTGTATTGTGTTGAATGATGATTAGAAGTTATGTAATTCAGTATGTTCTTGTATAATTACTTATTGTATGGTTATTTTAACCTTATTTTTGGATGAATATCATGAATTCAGGATGCAGTCTTTAAAGGGTATATTGTAAGCCATGGATAAAACCTTCAAGGTTATGAACATGCTATTGTTGTATTGCTAGTTTATTTTTGGTAAGGTTGATTACTTGAAGAATGAATGATGGATTTATGAATGTATTATCATGATATGAATGACATGATTGTGATGTTATGGTGGGTGTGTTACTATGTGGAATTGAAAGTAATTTTTGTACACATCTTATCACTATGTTATGAAGTAGTGTTCTCACATGATGTTGGGTTTGTGATGAAACAACTTTATCATTCTATAACCTATGAGCTATGTATATGTTCTATGAGGTATTAATCCCCTAAGACCTATATTATGAATTGATGTTTAAGAAATACTTAAAGATACTTCAAAAAGCTTAGCACCGATTGAACTTGAAAATGAGATATGTTCCTTCACAAAGGAAGGGAGGTTGACACTTTATGATCTCATGAGGTGGAAACTACAGTTCTAATTATCATAATGATGGTTTTTATCGAAACCTCCTTTTTCCTTAACTATGTCCCCCCATACGAATCTTAGCTATTTGATCCACCTAAATGCTGTTACGAGTGTAATATCTTACCTTGGCAAGTAGGACACCCTCCTTTTGGTGTGACGGGCTCAAACCAGATTCCGTGTAGCTTACATAGTCTATGTAGGTTATGGCACAACTTCCTGAATGTTAAAATAAATAAATGAATGTAAGAACATGGACACTGAGTAGGACTACTTAAGGGTTTCTACATAGTGTAGGTAAGATTATAAGACTTTACCTACACATTACAGAAGTGTGTCCTAAGAGGGTCTCTAGGGTGGGTTATTTATGTATACTTATTATGAATGATGTGATGTTGGTCGCACTTGATATGCACGGAGTTGGTTTCACTTGTTATGGTGATATATGAAGTACATGACAATGCTTATTTCTTGACGGTTTGCTTGGTGTGTTGGGGTTATGGGGCTTCACATGTACATTGCACTAGTAAACATGAATTGGGGGTTATGAGTAATGTCTTATGAAGTATTGATAAAATTAACATTATCATGAAATGTTGAACTATGGATTATTATGATTTACTTATGATTGTGGATATTTCTTGTTATGGTATGGGCTTGTGTATATGTTTTTGGAATGTGCATAAAGGCTTACAAAGTAAATATAGCATGTTTTTAATGAAATGTCCTTTTGTGCATGTTTTTAAATGTTTTACTTACATAGTTTCCATACTTAGTATATGTGATTTATACTAACCCATATTTCTTTAATTTTTCTACACAAGTGTATGTTCGGGTCATTGAGCTGATTCAAGTCTACTCTTGAACAAATATGGATTTCTATTCCCATGTTGGTAAGTCATCATGTCCTATGAAAGAATGCTTTGATTCTCAATTAATCTACTTTCACATTCCTTACTGAAAGACTATGTTGTAATTCATATTATAAGACTTGTTATTTATTTAAGGGCTAAGTCCCTAATTTCATACTCTTACATGTTGATGGAAATTTGGGAAAAGCTAGTTTATAAGATGATATATGAAGTGAAGCTCAACTTTTAATCAAATGTTCTAAATTTTCCGCTTTTATTTTTCTCTAATATGCAATGATGAATGCTAAGATCGTGTCTAAGACCTCTTCGAGGACAAAGATGTCGGTTACGACTACGGGCTTCTCTCAGGTCGTGAAAATCATTGTATCAGAACGTGACGTTGAATAATGGTAGGAATAAAGTCTCACAAAACCACATCTATGTAAAGTCGTGTTGATAATTGTAAAGTGCACCATACTTACGAATTAGAGGCTATGTGATACTTAGTAAATTTTTACTTCTTTTGGTATTCTTAAGTTGTGCCTAAGATTGTTAACTCTATGTGTCCTTAACTTCTAATCCTTTTTTTGTGAATATAGGCTATGGCTTTTAGAAGGGCAGCTGCAAGAACAGTTGAAGAGGAGACTACAAATGAGGGAGTTCCTTCCCAAGGAAACCAAGCTCCTCCTCAAGAACAAGTTCCTCTATGTGGACAAGCTCCAGTTAATCCTCCAGTCATGACGGATGCAGAGATAAGGTCAGCTTTCCTAAATTGACTCAAGCCATGGCAACTTAAACTAAAACTATGACAACACAAGCTAACCAGGAAGTAGCACCCCTTGTCGATCAAAATGCTAGTACTATGGTTTCACATATGAGGGATTTCACTAGGATGAATCCTCCAATTTTATTTGGATCTAAGGCGAAGGAAGATCCCAAAGATTTCCTAGATGAGTTTTACAAGATTTTATATGCTATGGGGGTAACTTCAAATGAGAAGGACGAACTAGCCACATATCAACTCAAAGATGTGGCTCAAACATGGTACACCCAATGGAAGGAAAATAGGGTTTTGAGAGTAGGTCCCTTAAGTTGGGAAATCTTAAGTAGTACATTTTTTGATAGATTCTTCCCAAGGGAGAAAAGAGAAGCAAAAGTGGAAGAGTTCATCAACCTTCGGCAAGGAGGTATCATTGTTCAAAAATACTGTTTGAAATTCATTAAGTTGTCTAAATATGCCTCGCATTTTGTGACTAATTCTAGATATGAAATGAGTCGTTTTGTGACGGATTTGTCCGATGATCTTGTGGAATAGTGTCATACGACAATAATTCACAATGAAATGGACCTTTCTTGTTTGATGGTACATGCTTACAAGTTGAGGAGAGTAAGCTTTAGAAGAGAAATAGTGATGCCAAGAGGGCAAGACCCTATGATAAGGAACTTCTAAGGGTAAGTTTGAGATCCTAGACAAACCAATGTATAAGAAGAGATTCTCCAACCAAGTTTCTTTTATTTTGCCAAAGGCTAGCAAGGATAGGGTACGTTACCCTAAGCCTCAACGGGGAAAAAGTAGTAGTTCACCAAGTGTGAAACCTAATTGTGCCAAATATTTCAAGAAGCATATGGGTAAATGTCTTGTGGGTATGAACAATTGTTTTCGTTGGGGAGAAGTGGTCATATGGTGAGGTATTGTCCCATGAGCAAGAATCAAGATAGGGAGAGTAACCAAGCACAAGCAAGTTATTCTAATCCCGGTGCTCCTAACACTACAAACAAGCACATATTTTTTGGAGGTTTTATTAGGGAGGTCAATTCAACCCCCTGTAATTTGGTTAAATTATAGAGGATTAATTAACCCCTGGAATTTTGATACAACTACCAGGGGTTTGTCAACCTTAGCTATCCTTAATATTTAAATTTTATAACATCACAGAGCTACTTTAAACCTCATTTTTTTCCGGAGCAACAAAAAATCTAACTATCTCACATTATTATACTGAACTCATCGAGTATTATCAGCCAAAATTGCTTTGAACTCCATCTGTTCTATATGGTGGCGGAGCTACCTACCACCGTCTTCCTGCTCAATAGAGTGGTCGGAGCAAGAATGAAGATATGAGGTGGCGATGAGGATTGTTTGTACGGTAATTTCATATATTTCACTTTCCTATCCAAGAAAAGCTTCTCGAAGGTTTCTAATGGAAGATCCATGTAGTATCTGTTTTGTATGTCATTAATTGGGGTTGTTACTTGTTAGCATCTTCATCTATAATCAAATACCTAATGTTCTGCATCCATTGCATCTCAAAATGTCTCACAATTTAAGGATTTCATTCTAAATAAGGTATAGAAATCATAGAAGATGAGCCATCCAACTTGTGAATTTTTCTCTGACACGTTACTATGCATTGTAAATCTGTAAATCAGCTTGAGTTTTTTTTTTCAACTTTGAATTGCTCTAGATTTTTTCGACATTTGTATTGTGATTATAGACAATTATTTTTTCAGAAAAGGCTCTGATTGGTAAATCAAATGTTCCTTTCGAGATTTGTGTCCTCCAGCATTATCGTCAGATTGTGTCGAAGTTCAACTTTAATCTGGTATGTGTTTGTTGGGTCCTTGATTTCCCTGAAGTGATGGAATCTGTCTACAGTATCCGTTTAGCATTTAGTTTTTCTTCGTGTTTATAACTTTTACTTTCTGAGACAAAATATTAATAGTGGCTTCTAATCAAATGATTGGACTGAAATCAAGTCCTTAGTTTAACTATCAACATTTGTGGATTTTCTTCAATGTTTTATCCTCATCTGTTTTTTTTAGAAGTTATTTTTTAAGTTGTTAATTTGTACTCCACTTTGTTTTAGAATTGATTGATGATGTTAAGACTTAACCACTCAAGGTTCAATAATCTACATGCAACTACTTATAGGAAGTGGGGCTCTGTCTCTCAGAAAGACATTGTTTTGGCTTATATTTAATAGTTAGAGAGGAAAACTTCAGACACCAAGGACGTGAATTAGTGCTCAATGAAACATTGGGTGATTTCTTCGTGTAGACACTAAGATCACTCTCTGCAAACTGGTGCACAATAACAATGGTATGAGGCCATGATAAGTTTTATGAACAAACCTAGGATCTTGGTTTGTATGTTTGAGTTTTATGCTTGAGAAAGACAAAGTAACTGACATCTGTTTGATATTTATCATCGTATATAACTGGATGTAAGTCTAATTTTTAGCACTTCCTTGAAACAACTCCTTAGTTATGTCTTTCCCAGCAGTGTTTCTTCAATAATGGCTCTGTTACAACTCGTATGGATAAGATTGTCTAGGGAGCAAGAATAAAGTCAAACTATAGTATAATATATATAAAAAGTTCAGAATAACATATGCATGTCGGCTTGTACTCTAGCAGGTCCAGCATGTTGATCGTTTTCAGTATTTCCTTTACAAGCAAAAGTTACTTGTGTGTGCAGCAGCACTTTATGCTAAAATACCTATTCTCGATGTGTACTCTTATTCTACAGATACTATATGCTCCGTCACTCAAATGAGAATAATTATGTACTTACAGTTTTCGGCATACAGAATGAAGCAGTAAGCACTACTTTATAATGTTTAATTGTTTCTTGGTACATTTATCCATTAGGAAGTTGATACTTCAAGGACAAAAAGAAACAAAATGGAAAAGAATTGAAAAATGACGCAAGAACTAAATTTTCACATCATTACTTAACAAACTACTCTTCTTGACAGAGTAAACAAGGAGATCAAGTCACACTATTGGACCCCATTTGCAAATTTGTTTATATTGAATTTGAAGACAGTACAAACTAGGGTACACTTATTAGCTATGTTATCAAATACATGAAGAGGATCTTGTGCATAAATTCCCCTTCGTTTCGATTTGTTTGTGTTGCTTTCTTTCTTTAGCCCGTTTAGAAACTGTCTTCTTTGACCCTATTTTTTTATTTTAGAGTGAAATGAACCAGCAGCTTGGAGACTTCTGGCCTTGATGTTCTCAGGGATTTAGTTCTCTACCTTATCAAGGAAATTTTATTGCTCAAGGTGTTTAGACTTCTGGCCTTTAAGTTTGCATATAAAAGTTAGTTGCTTTTATGATTAGAATCTTGATATCTACCTATAACACTAATATACTTGCGACTTCTTGGTTTCGTATTTCAAACTTATGCTCGTGTTCAATCCAGAGCAATTTTAAAACATGTAGTGTGATCTTGTTCTTTCAAGTATACTTGTTTCTATTCTACCTGATTCAAACATTCAATTCATTACCTTTCTAATGACAATTAGCAGAGTCCGAAGGACCGGACAGACCAGCAGGTTAGAAGCTGAAGGTCAGAACTAAAATAAGGGTTACTTTGCACTTTCCTCTATTCAAATTCGATACTTAGTTGTGCTAAACACGAGGGCTTTTCTTTTTCTTATCTATCTTTGGCCTATTTTACTATTGTCTTATTCTAAACTTGAAGTAGTTGTTGTCTCTCTTGTTCTTGGTCTCTGTGTTGTGTTACTTCCTTAAGATGTAATATTGGGGATATCCAAAAGTCAGGTAAACTGGAATCTTTTTTCAGCAGGCCAAGGATTGAGCAGTGCTTATTCTTAAGTTGCTATTTTTTTTATATGTTTTTTGGTTCATTTGTTAATTAGAACTGAAGTAGCAAGAAGAAAAAGATGTAGGCTTTTCATTTTTCATCAGGCCAAGCTATGTGACCAGTGAGTTTTCTTTTGCTCGTTCTTTCTCGACTGGTAATCAACTGTGTTGTGAAACTACTATTTAATAATGTTACGAGGTGGTAGCCATGTGTGGTAAAAGGCGGTGCTTACACTGTAACCTTAATGTCAGTCTCATCTACAACTTCATCCAACTTTCTTTTGATCTTGAAGTTCTGATCATATTTCATCTCCTAATTGGCTCCATTCTCAAGAATTGGGGCTTGTGTTGTTCCAACTCAGGTGCCAATTAAGGAGGTGAGAATTTCTCCACTCTCAAAGAGTATCGGAAAGCCAAGGGTTCAAAGGTTAGACTTTTTCTGATGCAAATGTTAGTTTGTTTGAGTTGGGAAGTAATCAGTTGACTCTTATTTGCAGCAAACTAGTGGCAACAAACTGCATTTGCTTCGCCATTGGACTATGGAGGATGTGTATGTATTTCCCCAAAGAAATGTTTTCTCCATAAGGTTGGAACTCCATGTTATGTAGAAGTCACAATGATCTGTAATATCAGCAAATAACTTTGCTGTTCTAGCTCATTTGCAGTTACTCATAATGGAGATAATCAAAGTAATGAAACTGCTGGAAGTGGTGATTCCTTGAATGAACAGGAGTATAGACATACTATTGAACTTGAAGATGATGATAGAAAGGTTGAAGAAGTTTTGGAATATCTAAAACAAATGGAGAATGACGCTAAACTGAAGCATCTGGCAGAGCAAACTTAGAGAACTGCAAAAACATGTCAAGGAGTATTGATGCAGTTATGAAGACTAATACTTGCTAAAAGTGCAGTGATGAGCAATTCAAGAGTAGTAAGAAGGTCAATACTCTTATGCTTGGATTCTCATAGTTCTGTGAGAGCCATTCTGTTCTATATTTTGTACAAGGGAAGTCATAAAATGTTGATGGTGTTGCGTACTAGGTTCTTAGTCAATGAAGAAATTTGTATCTCTTTCCAGAAGCATACCAGGCAAGTGGAGACTCAATCTCAACATCCTTAATATGTGCAAATAAACGAAAAACTCCGCTATACTAATTTGCTTGCCCGAAGGGAGGATATAATCTTATCTTTCTTAGGCTTGTACACCTATTTCCACTCTATTTTTCCCTTCCTGCAATTTCTAGAGTCGCACACTTTGTATTACAATAAGCTCCACATAATAGGGGGACAACTAAGTAATGCGTAAGATTATGTCAAAGTTAGTCATATCAAAAATCACCAAATCATCGAATGTATGAATTCCCATAACCAAAATTTGAAAAGTACGATAGACATAGGTAATTATGACTGATTCTCAAGGTGGGGGTAGAAACATGAACAGGGGCATCAAGATTCAAAATTCATATCAAATTCCGAGGAAAATCTCTTGAAAACATAAGAATAAGTAGAACCCAGATCAGACAACACATTACCCATCCGCTCATAGACAAGAAAAGCACATATGATCGTCGCGTCAAATGCCCCTGCCCCATTCTTGCCCGAAAAAGAATACCATTTAGCCCTATCATCTTGACGAGCTAGTTCCGTGCCTGGTTTCATGTTGGCGCTACCCCTGTTACTATTTCCTATACCTCCACGACCTCATTCGTTACCTCCTCGCCCACCTTGTGGACGACCTATTCCAATGTTGCCATTTCTCGCTGGAATTACTACCCTAAAATACTGTTGCGTAGACTCAAACACAAGCGGATGGCGAAGATGTCTATGCATATGCTCAGGTTCTCCGCAATTAAAGACACTACGATGGAAAGATGGTCGATTTCCCATCGAAGGTGCGAATCCCTACCTATTCTTAAAATATAATGACCCGAGAGCACCCCTTAGTCATAACGACGTCTTAAACCTCGAAGAGGTATTATAAAATCCCTTAGCATTCGTTATTGCATATTATATAGAATAAAAGCAAAAAATTTACAACTTTTCATTTGAAGTTCAACTTCACTTCATATATCATTATAGAAACTAGCTTGTCTCACATTGCCATCTAGACATAAGGTATAAAAATTGGGACTTAACCCTTACATCAAACAAGTCTTATAATACATATTACAACATATTCTTTCAATAAGGAATGTGGAACTACATTGAGAATCAAAGCTTTTCGTCCTCAAACTTCAGCAATCACCAACTTGGGAATAACAATCTATGTTTCTTCAAGAATGGAGTAGAATCACCTCAATGTCCTGCACCTACACTTGTATAGAAAATTAGAAGAAATATTTGTTAGTACAAACCACATGTACTATGTATGCAAACTATGAAAGTAAAACATTTGAAAACATGCACAAAAACACATTTGGTTAAAATCATGCTCTATTTACCGTGAAAGCCTTTATACACATTCCAAGAACATATACACAAGTCCATGCCATACCAAGGCATATCCACATTCATAAGTACATCATAATACTTAAACATTTCATGTAAAAGTTCATTTTATCAATATTTCATAAGACCTTACTCATAAACCAATTCAAGTCTACTAGTGCAATTTACATGTGAAGTCCCATAACCCCACACACACCAAGTAAATCATCAATAAGATCATAAGCATTGTCACTTACTTTATACATCACCTTAACAAGTTAAACCAAGGCCATGCATATCAAGTGAGACCAACATCACATCATTCATAATATGTATAAATAAAGAACCCACCCCATAACCCCTCTTAGGACACACTTGTAGAATGTGTAGGTAAAGTCCCATAACCTTAGCTACGCTAAGTAGCATCCCTCAAAGAATCCTAGGTAGTGTCCATCCTCTTACTTTTATTCATTCAGTTTAATGTACAGGAAACATGGAATCCGGTGTCATCCCCTCATACTGCGAGGACGATTTTCTACTTTCCAAGGTAAGACATTACTTTCGTAATAGCATCTATGTGGATACACTAGCTAAGATTCGTATTGGGGGGGGGGGACATAGTTAAGGAACTAGGAGGTTGTTTCTAGAAACCCTGTTTATAATAAATAACATTGTATTTTGAATCTCATGAGATCATAAGTGTGAACCTCCCTTCCTTTGTGAAGTAATACATCTCATTGTCAGGTTTACACGATGCTAAACTAAAATTTTGTTTTTTGAAGAATCTTTAAGTCTTTCTTAAATATCAATTCATAATATAGGTTTTAGGGGTTAACCCCTCCTATAAAATTTACATAGATCATAGGTTTTAGGATGATAAAACCCCTTAATATCAAATCCAACATCACGTGAGAACAATACTTTATAACATGGTCATAAAATGTATATAGAAATTACCTTAAATATCACATAGTAACACACCCACCATTACCTCACAATCATCACATTAATCTCATGATAATACATTAATAAATTCATCATTCATACTTCAGGTAATCAACCTAACAAAAGATAAACAAACAATACCACAATAGCATGTTCATAACCTTGAAGGTCTTACCCTTGGTCTTCAAGATACCCTTTCAAGATTACATCCCAAATTTATAATATATACATAATTTAGGTTAACATCACCATAAAATAGTTAATTATACAATAACATACTCAATTACATAACCTCTAATCATCATTCAACAGAATTCAAGGGTTAGGGTTGAGAGAATGGGAATATACACGGGTCATTAGAGAAATAGGTCAAAGATCTTAAAAACACTTAAATTCATTCTATAACATTCATATTCAATCATAATTATTCAATTCTAGAGCAAATATTTCATGTTTGAAAGAGACCCATGAAATTAAAAGAAATATAGAAATTTGTAAGAACAATAAAATCAATTTTGAAGAACCTCTTGGATAAAGGAGTACTAAGAGTGAAGAGTTCCCATAGATTTTTAGAATTTACGGATCAATAAAGAAAAGTCCTATTCTCGAAGCCCTACAGAAAGCTTGATCTTCTTCTTCTTTAATGGATTCTTGAGTTGAGTGAGTTTTGACTTTTTTTTTGTAAGTTTAGATAGAATGACTTGGGGTCCTGGGATTGGGATATTATAGTTAGGTTTAGTTAGGTAATTAAATCACTTACCACCCCTCCTAACCCCTATTTAAATAAATATCTTGTAATAAGACCCTTGACTTGAAACTAATTTTCGAAAAACTGTAGCCACTTTAGGCCACGACCTACGGACTGTAGGTGGTGGTACGACACGTCCTTCTTGAACGTGTTTTGCTTCAGAGAGTGGGATTTGGGAGACTCTCTGTGGGGATAATAAGTCAAAACCGACAAGCCATTCCTACGGGGCATAGGTCTAGTGACAGTTTGTCACTTTCCCTTGTAGGTGGTTGCTGCATTTTTGGCAGCTTTTTGTCAAATGTTTGGGTCCTCCTCTAGACCCCCCGAGGGTGGTCCTTGGGGATTTTACCCGGACGTTTGGACCCTAAAAACATTATTTTACTTATTTATTTTTTTTACATAATTTAATAACCATACTTCCAACCTTAACAAGACCTAATAACAACTACTATTTATTTTATTACAAACCTTTCGGGCGTCATGGTCATTTCTAGACGTTGGGTATTAACACTTTCAAACAAAGTTAATTATATTATATTACGTCTAGAAACATCATTTTAATCATTTTAAGTCACTATTAATTATGCAAGGCTCTAGCTTAGGTCATTCGATTTCCTTTGTGTTTCAATACTCCCCTTCTTAGGAACATTCATCCCTAAATGAAACTTTTAACCTTTCTAGGGAATACAATGACTCATTACTAGCAGCCCAACCAACATATGATATATAATAATTTCAAAACAAAGGATGAAAAAATGCATCACTATAAGGTAGGAACTACCTAAACAACCAAATATGCACATACCTCATCACTTCACATCATGCAAGGAGGTAGGTAAACTGAAATCGATCAGCCAAGATTCAAGGAAGAGATTGAAGATAAGAAGATCAGCCAAAGATTCAAGAAAGATATTGAAGATCAAGCAAGATTCAAGGAGTTCATCTAACAGAGGAAGGAATTGATGTAATCATGCACATATCTGATATGGATATGATTCAACAAATCAATTCAAATAACTCAAGGAGTCATCCATGAATTCTTGATTTACAACTCCCTTGGGTTTCCGAAACTGGCATCATCTTTCACATCTATATATACCTCTCTTAGTCTTAGATGTGATGTACACACTTCACTTGAACTTTTATTTTAATCTTCTTTTATATTTCATAAAACTTTGTACACCTTTGAGTGAACAATTGTAAAGAAAGGACAAAGAAAGATCTGAGTGTAGGTTATACAGGTAGAGGTTGTGTCAAAGAAGAAGATCTAATTTGCATATTAGACGGGCTCTTAATCATAACATTCTGTAACACCCAATTTCTCAACAAGATCTTAAAGAAACCCTTGTAACCCAAGGGGAATGGACTAGGCACCACATCGGTGATCCGAACCAGTATAAAAATACTCTATGTAGTATACTTTCTACAAGTTATCATTACTGTTTATTTGTTTTACTAACCTGCATGTGAGTTGACTGACCAGAGCAGGAAGTAGACTGAAGGGAATTTAAATTCACCTTCACTCTTGACTTTCAATGGGTATCAAAGCAGGTCTCAAAGATTCAATGTTTAACCACACGTGAGGAAAGATTCAATGGCGCACTATCTAATTCTTGGTGCGTTACTTCAAGACGGACATTCCTCACATCGACCACCATACTTTAATGGACAATATTACTCTCATTGTAAAGATAGATTTAAAATCTTTGTATTTTCAAATGATTATCAAGCATAGATAGTAATCAAGAAGGGTCCGAAGCCTAATCAAGGATTAACTGAAAAAGATGGCACTAAAAAGCCATTTGATCCAAAATCATTTGATATCACTAAGGAACAACAAGAGGTAATTCAAACTAATTCTAGAGCTATAAGTTTGTTATTTTGTGCAGTGAATGGAGAAGAATATGATAAAATATCAATATGCGAAATTGCAAAAGAAATGTGGGACAAACTAGAAGTGACATATGAAGGGAATACTAAAGTAAAGGAAGCTCCATTCACTTGTAAATGAATACGAGTTGTTCAAAATGGTCGAAGATGAAAATGCTGAAATCATGTTCTCAAGATTCAGTAAAATTGTCTG